AAAATTCAACAAACCAAAAATGTGAATTAATCAGCTATTTTTTTTTTAATCTAAATGAAAAGGCAAGATCATGTTGAATATCTGAGACAAATTCTTAAAATAAAAACTTCATTTCCTTTCATGAGTTTCTGCACCTGTTTAATGATTTTCTTTATAGTTCTGTTTTCTGCAGCACTGAACAAGGTAAAAATAATGCAGCTGAGACTCACTTGAGGGCGATGGAGTACTGGCCTCTCTGCAGGTCTGCAGCTGAAGCTCCGCCTCCTGGAGACTCATGCAGCCATGGTACTAACTGAGACAGGAAAAAAGTCAGAGTAGCATCTGTGTAGCAGAAATATGAACACCTTCAAACCTGACTCCCTTTTCTAGAGTGAAGTTTCATCGTGTTGTAAAATAACAGACTTACAGACAAACTCACACTTAGAGCAATTACATTCCACTTTGTTCGAAATTTAGACCTGAACATAAATGAACAATAATCTTTATTGACTGTTTCAGTATATGAAGGAGTTCAGAGCCTTGCCTTTGTTTTTCCAGGGGCAGGGAGGGGTTGACAGCAGGCCTTGCTCTCAGAGCCACTGTTTGGGACAGAAGGTGGCAGCAGAGCCAGAGGAGAGGACCTCAGGATCTGATGGCTTCTGCCTTTCTGCTTCAGATGCTGAGGCTGCTGCAGCTGTGCAGCCAGATGCTGGATCTGATGGTTTCTGCCTTTCTGTTTCAGATGCTGAGGCTGCTGCAGCTGTGCAGCCAGATGCTGGATCTGATGGTTTCTGCCTTTCTGTTTCAGATGCTGAGGCTGCCGTAACTGTGGAGCTGGATGCTGCTGCAGACGTGCAGCTGGATGCTGCTGCCGATGAGATGTCACATCTTTGGTGGGGTAGTGATATTCAAATGGTGCTGAGAAACAAAAACACTGTGTGTGAATAAATAGCTCACATCTCCAGTAAATATAAACCAAGAAGGCAGCACTTTGTTGTTTAATGGGGGAGTGGTGGCGCAGAGGTTAGAAGATGGGCCTGTGATCGGAAAATCGCAGGTTCATTTCCCGGTACCGTCAACATCAAAATGTGGGTGGAATAGGTGAAACACCCACACCTGCCTCCACCCTCATTCGCCCCACTCTGGGCCCCTGAGCAAGGCCCTTAACCCCCACCATCTGCTCCCTAAACAGGTCTCTCTTGAAAATGAGTTGTCGTGGCTCAATGAGACTACCTGTATAAATAAAGGGTAAATTAAAAAAAAAATGAAATGAAAAAATATAATGCAAGATGTTGCTCAGAATGCTGTTGGTCTGTGTAGCTTATAAAATATACATGTGAGAATAAACATGACAGTTTTAATGCAATTCAATTCAGATGATTTATATAGTGCCAAATCACAACAAAGTGAACATTCACACACATAGAAAAGCCAATTAGTAAAGTTCTGTATCTAAGGAAGCCAGCAGACATGTTGAATGTTCGCTTTGTTGCAGTCTCCCATACTGAGCAAGCACGACAACAGTGGAAAGGAAAAACTCCCTTTCAACAGGAAGAAACCTCCAGCAGAACCAGGCTCAGGACAAGCGGCCATCTGCTTTGACCGGCTGGTTTGAGAGGACAGAAAAGAGAGACAAACGAACACAGAATGGTAGGTCCAGGTGTACCTGAAAGACAAAAAACACATGTTAGGATAGAAAAAATAATTACAAATACAAAACAGGTTGAGCAGAGTAAGTAATTAATTATCTCGATCATTCCTTCATTTCTCACAATTTCAGTCATGGAGACAACAGACAAGGAGGAAGAGATCGCTTGCCTCTTGTCAAAAAAATAAAGAAAGAAAAGGCCAGATCAGGGATGAAGAAGGGGAATTTAATACATTGGTGTCTCCTACAAAACAATCTGTCGCCGGGCAGTTTATTGTGTGACACCGAGTACGCGTACGCGGTCGTAAAAATTGAGCTTTGCACGGACATGCCCTGCGGGCGTCCGCCCGCTTCGAGTAATCCGGTACGCACGGATCTCCGCGGACTGACGTACACTCGAGTCTGTGGGTGCCTAGGATCTTTTCTCATATGTGCCCAACTTTATTTTAGCCTAACGAAAGCAGATGTAGACTAACTGGTTTCATGAAGAACTAGAGAACTTGCAATTTTTTTGAGAATGCACTTAATGACTTTACTGATTTTTTCTAAAGATGCTAACACTGAGTTGTTAAAGCTAAAAGAAGCAAAACAGTAGCTAAAACCTAAAAGAAGCAAAATGCTAATGAAAGGGAGCAAAGAGGCGAGCTCAAGGGCAAAGTTGCACAATGCTAATTAAAACAAGCAAAAGGTATGCTAAAAGTAGAACACTGTTTAAAAGTAGTGAAACTTTCATTAATTTAAAGATAAAGTTAAAGGCCATCTTAAAGTGAAAAATAGCAAAAGGCTGGATTAAAGCTATAATGCTTGCTTTTCCTCTTCTAAACAAAATGTAGTCTACCTGTACACTTCCTCTCCCTTTCTTATAGGTCACTATATTTTTCCCTCTTTTGGAAATAAGTGTTAAGTCTACTCCTCCCCTAAACATAGGAGGATCTGTGGTGGAAGTGGTCTCCAGCTACAAGTACTTGGGTGTGCACCTAAATGACAACCTCAGCTGGAGCAACAACACCACCAGTCTGATCAAGAAAGCTCATCAGAGAATGTACTTCCTCAAGCGGCTGAGACGAGCTGGTCTGGGAAGTTCATTCCTGACCTCCTTCTCCAGGTGTGCAGTGGAGAGCATCCTGTGCTCCAACATCAACGTGTGGTGTGGCAGCTGCACAGCTGCAGAAAGAAAAGCTTTGCAGAGAGTGATGAAGTCTGTTGAAGTCAGCCTCTCCACCATTACAGACATCTACACCTCTAGATGCAGGAAGAGGGCCACCTGCATCATGAAGGACCCCACTCACCCAGCACACACATTTTTTGCCCTGCTCCCCTCAGGCAGAAGGCTGAGGAGCTTTAAGTGCAGAACCATCAGGCAACAGCTTCCACCCTGAGGCTGTTAGACTCATAAATCTCTAACCAGGAAAAATCACTGTGGAAATTACTGTGAAAAAACTGAAAAATCACTGTGGAAAAAAAAACAACCAACTGTGAAAATTTCTGTAATGCCACTTGGTTGTTGATATGTACTGCTTATCCATGATGCGGACTCATGCTGCTGATTATTTCATGTTACTGTGTTCATTAGTCCCCATCTGCTCACACAGACTCATGTCCGTGCTGCTGTTGTTTTGGCGCATTGTTTGTGTACCATTAGCGCTTAGTGTAGTCTTAGTTTAGTGAATGTAGTATATTCTTAGTTAATGACACGGATCTTACTAATGTTTTTCTTTATAATTTGTATTTTTGTTGGATGTAACTGGGACCCTATGTACATAATTTTGTCCCACCTCATGTATCACGTGTGGTGTGTATGACAAATAAATCTCTCTGACTCTAGACTACAGTCATTTCCATCCTCTTGGCAAAATCCACCACCATCCATCCTTCCTGGTTTCTTTCCTTGACACCAAACCTACCCATCACTTCCTCATCCCCTCTGTTTCCTTCACCAACGTGTCCATTCATGTCTGCTCCAGTCACCACTCTCTCCTCCCTGGGAATAATCTCCATCACTTCATCCAGATCCTTCCAAAATGTATCTTTCTCCTCTATGTCACATCCAACATGGCACACAATCACTGACAATATTTAGCATTAGACCATCTACTTCTACCTTCAGACACATCAACCAATCTGACACTCTTTCCGCCAATGCTAAATTCTTTGCAAACTCCTCCTTCAGAACCAACTGTATTCCATTTCTCTTTCTATCCACACCATGATAAAACAGTTTAAACCCTTCTCCAGTGCTACAAGCCTTGCTGCCTTTCCACTTGGTCTCTTGGACACATAAAACATCTACCTTCCTTCTCTGCATCATGTCAGCCAGCTCTCTACCTTTGCCAGTCATTGTCCCCACATTTAGAGTTGCCACCCTCAGTCCTACATTCTTGACTGTCCTTTTCTCCCTCTGTCTCCTGACACGTTTCCCTTCCCAGGGTCTTTAACTAACAGCAGCACAATTCACTGGCACCCTGTTTGTCAACAACACCGGTGGTCGTTGTTAACCTGGGCCTCGACCGATCTGGTATGGTGTCGCTTTGATGAACTTGCATATTAGTTTTGGTTACATTGTTTTATGTTGGATGCCCTTCCTGACACAACCCTCACCACTTCCACGGGCTTGACAACCGGCACAAGAGATACACTGGTTTGTGCTCCCTTCTGGCTGGTTTACACATAATTATGGCTTATATTAATTTAATGGTAAAGATAAGTTGTTTTTTTCTGCAGACACTCTGCTAGGCTTTCTTACACCAGACTCAACCCGTTGTTTCAGATTTTTTTTTTTTTTTCACCCTAATTGCCCTTCTTTCATTGCCACATGCATCCCCACCCCACGTGTCTGGGGGTGGCACTTGGGGTAGCCAATCAACTGCCAGGGCTGGCACTTGCCACTTTAGTATGCTTGCCACCCGGTCATCTCTCTCTGGTTCCGCCCCTGTTTGCACTGCATCACTTTATTATTCAGTCTTTTTCGCCAACAAATTTTAAAACCTTATATGATAGTTTAAATTAAGCCTATTAATTTCATGTTAAGCCTTATTATAACTCTTGACAAGATGTTGAAATGGCACATTACTTGGAGTTCACTACAGTTTATTATTAAATAGTACAGGGAGCGTTGAGCAATAGTTGGTTCAGTGCTGCTTAACATGCAGCACTCCAAGGGGTGATATTTGTTACTGTAGGTTTTAAAAAATAAGACACATTTACTACTTGAGATATATTTATTAAATATATGTATATTTTATTTTATATAGTTTACAATACATATTTATTTTATATGAGTTACCCCCAAACTAATGCTAAAATGATTAGCGTTACCAATAAACACCCCCATTTTGTAGTTGAGATGGAACCTTCCATGATGCGCAACGCTCCTGCTTATCCCTCTTTGTCCGGTAGCGAAAGAAGGCCATGATAATTATGGCAAAATTTGCGTTTTTGAATGAATTATAGTTGAATGATGGATCAACAAGCATACACCGTTTGAGGACTGGTTTTCTGGCAATGACACACCAGAGAGTTTGAATTTACAGGACAGCAGAGCAAGCAACGGAGAAAGAAAGGGTACAGTTTGCATCCACGACAGACTGCAAAGATGGCTAGCTATCTGTAGCTAGCAGGCTAATGTTAGCATTGTACACAGCAGCTCTTGCATCTTAATCGATTGTCTTGTGTCATAAATGGTGTGATGTGTTTAGTTAGCAAAACGTTTACACATGTGACTGTAGAAACGCAAATAACAGACTCGACTCATGTGCCAGTTTTGCGTCTGCTTATTGAAATTTAAACGCTAACTGGTTAGCTACATTGAGTAACGTGGCTAGTTGGTGAGCAAATGTACTGACCAGTTTGCGCTACACAGATTTTATCCTAACATCTGTGAATGATTAGAGAAGAATGGTGTGGTCTGTGACAGACCCTTGTAACATGTAATCAAAGTACACTCCTATTTAAAATTACTTCTAGATATCAGTACTATTTTTCCTCCCAAGTCAAATTCTCGCTAGACTTAATTAAAATGAAAGTTTTCAAAAATAATATAAGTACTACGAAGAATGTGCCAAGCGCTTGACAAGTGAAATAAATTAAGACAAACTAAATTTAGGTTACTTAAAAATTCCTCCAAAGTTCCAAGTGTCTGTTTAGAAGCATAACAGATGAATATGTGTAAATAAATTCTTACTAAAATTAACTTTGTGGACATTTGAAATAGAAGTTCTTTCAGGAGGTCATCACTTTTCAAAAATCTAGTGTAATTGTTATGAATGTCATGAATTTTATTTGACCTGTTTTGTATTTAAATGGCATCCCATCAAGTTCTTAATCCAGAAGATTATTTTAAACTATTGTGAAAATATTAATTGTGGGTCATATTACAGGTAATAGTGTAGGAAATTATATTTTAGTCATAATATACATTCTGGATACCCATATAGACACCATTACTGACTAAATTGCACAGTTTTCAAAGCAATATTGAAGATAAAGTATTTTCCATTTGAGACATTAAATTTAAAATTCTAACTGATGAAAATGAGATTGTAGATCTCTGGTGTGTGAATTTCACATAGTAAATCTTTAGATATCTGTAATGTTTATTTTGGATAGGAAAAAAAAACTCATGGATAAGAAAAGTAATGTCAGCTTTCATGCACAAATGACATTGGAATAATCTGAAAAGTTGATTGTGAATAGAATAATTTGCATTAATTATAGCTGACATGTTCTTGGCTATGAAGAATATTTGCTTTGAAAGACCACCTTTGTTATATGAAATTAGCTTACCATAGATTCTTGTAACATGCTTGTTTAGACGGTGAGGAAAAGTAGTAAGCAACCAGTTTACTCATCAATTAAAAACTGTCTTGCATCAAGAAAAACTTGTGCTCCATAAAGTTAGCCTGCTCAGTTTCTCTTACGTGTCTTTGGTGACCAAATCCCAGCGTGACAGACATCGTGGCAAAATATTTGCAACTCTAGCAGAGTTTGCAGAAGACCTGGGCCTGTGTTATTATCGTACCGGCTAACTTAATTTTCTTCAAATGGTAGCAAGTGCTACAATTACAGCTTTAGTAATACTCACAAGTACGGTGGTCCTGAGGTGCAAAATAACAATACTGGACGAAGTGCAACAATTTCACAAAATGCATATGTTGCAGAAATTCAAGGGCGAAAACTCAACATTAATAGTTTAATTAGAAAACAACAATAAAACAGAAAATATCCATGCTCACAAAACAATTTTGCATAACGCATCAACACAAAGCTGGTTAAAAATATATATATTTATATTTAGTCCCTGAACTTTTAGTTTTCTGCTTGCTGTTGTTTTCTTTTTTGCCTGTTTTTGTTTGTTGCATTTTGTCCAGTGTTGTGTTTTGCACCTCAGGACCACTGTAGACATGACCTGAAGGCAGATTCAACCTGTTGGCATATAGCCTTCAAGACGTCGTCATTTTTAACTTTTTTTTTTCTTGCATATGAACGGTGATTTGCCACTTCACCGACAGCCATAGTAGCTAATGGCTGCCGAATCGGGGAGACTACTGGCGGGACAAGGAAAGCGAAAAGGTAGGAATTAATTTCACCCATCTCCCAATCCGATCGGAATCATCCATTACTGCGCTGCAATGGGCTGCACTGGTGCTGTTAGCAATCCCCTTTTTGCCTCCCCATATGTGAACTTCACGACTGTCTCCGATGGTGGCTGTTTCTCACAGAGTGAATCTGTGAACGGGGTTCATGTCTATCTTGCTATCAGTGTATCTTCAACTCCGTTTCCTCGTTCTCATGTCTTAGTCTTCTCCTGTCTCCCTCATGACCTTACCTCTTTTGCCTCTGTTTGCGGCCTCACTCCCCCCTTGCCTGGGTCATTCGGTCTGCCTGGGTCATTTGCGATTCAAGGCTTCATAACGTTGGTGATGATAACACCTGGGTGTTCAGCATTTTGTTCTCATGCCAGTCTATGTCCCATCATTGAATCCATCACAACTGTTGGACTTGGAAAAAAGAGGCCCTAGGTCTAAAGCTGCTTCACTCTGTCACTAAGGGGTATTGGCCGATCCAAACTTGATGCTTCTGATTGATGGTGGACGTATAATATGAAAGATGGAAGCAATAATCATGTTTACCTCTTTCCACCCCTTTTCTCTATGTTTTACTATTTCAGCTTCCCAGATGAAGAGCCCGGAGAAGAAGAAGGCACGGAAATCCACAACTCAGGTAAGAAACTTGGGAAAACTCTCAATGAACTAAAAGCTAAAATGGTAAATTTAGGTGTTTTCAATATCTTGTAAAAGCTGCAAAAATAAACTTGGTAATTTGTTTTGCTTTAGGCGGCGGGGTTCTCTCACCTCACTGAGTTTGCACCGCCTCCTACTCCTATGGTGGACCATCTGGTCGCGTCCAACCCGTTTGACGATGACTTTGGGCCTCCATCCAGACCAACTGGTGCAGGTGGACCAGGCGGTGCTCCCTTTATCCCCAGTCCAGGTGCCGGTGGAGGAGGTGGGTATGGAGGTGGAGGAAGAATGGGTGCTGGCATGACCTTCATGGGAAGCCCAGGAGGACCAGGAGGTGGTCAACCAGGGCGCAGGCCCCCCTTTGGCCCTTCATCTAATGCTGGACCCCACCACCAGCTAGGCTTTGGAGGAATGCCTGGCTTTGGAGGAGGAGGAGGTGGTGGCGGTAGTGGGGGTGGTAGTGGAGGAGGTGGATTCCCTCCTGGTGGCCCCTCTCAGTTTAATATACCACCAAACTTTAGTCCACCCATGCATCCTGGACCAGGTTTCAATTCCATGTTGTCTTCAGGGGTTATGGGAGGTCCTGGAGGAGGAGGGCCACCTCACCCTCGTTTTGGCATGCCTCCACAGCAGCAGCACGGACAGGGTGGGCACCCATTCAATAGCCCTCCATTACCTGGGGGCGGAGGCCCACGAGGGCCCTTGCCTCCCATGGGAGGAGGCATGGGTCCTGGGATGAACATGATGGGTGGAATGGGTGGTGGGCCTGGTGGCAATATGGTTGGAGGAGGTATGCCAGGTATGCCTCCTCAAGGACAGTTCCCTCCCTCACAAGATGGCCCCTACCCTGGCCCGAGTCCACCAGGGCCAGGTAATGAGGATGGAAAGGGTTTTGGAGGAGGAGGGGGGCCACCTGGACCTCCACAACAGCAGCAGCAGCTTAATCTAAATCCCAATGGTCCTCCCAATAACAACAATACACCTGGCCCCCCTCCTAACTCAGGGCCACCACAACAAGGGGGAGGCTTCCCTGGCCATATTGATGTTCAGCCACCCAGCACCAATACACCAGGTCAGCCTCCATCAGCACCACCACAGCCTAACCCCAACGCTTCTCCTACCGGTCCTCTGAATGGATCGGGTCAACCCCAGCATCCACAGTCCAGTCAGCTGCAGCCCCCCAGCAATGCAAACACCCCCAACTCTAACAGTTCTAACCAGCAGCAGCAACAATCAACTCCTCCAAACTCTGCTCCCGGCTCGACCTCTTACAACCAACAGAACAACACTCCCGGTTCTGCCGGTCCCCTGTCGAACGCCTCCAACTCATGTCAGAACAACATAACCAACAACAACGGAGGCAACACTCCCGGCAGCAACCCCAACCCCCCGTCTAACTCCACCTCGACACCGAACACTCAGTCTCCCCTGCCGCCGGGCCCCGCCGCCCCCACAACTGGCCCTGGTTCTGGTCCTGGAAAACTCGGCGGTCCTGGGATGGTCTTCCCTTGCGGGCTGTGTATGGCAGAAGTGCACGACGACCAGGACGCCATCCTTTGCGAAGCCTCCTGCCAACGCTGGTTCCATCGTGACTGTACGGGCCTTACAGAACCAGCCTATGGACTGCTGACTCGAGAGAGCGCTGCCGTCTGGGCATGCGACTTCTGCATCAAGAACAAGGACATTCAGGCTGTGTTTGTGCGCCAGGGACTAGGCCAGCTGGTGGCAGCTAATGAGAGCTGAGGAGTGGAAGAGACGGAGCAGAAAGGAGGTGAACGACCTGCGTGTGCCACGTCGGCTTCTTGCCCAACCTCGTCTTGGCCAGCCTTTTACTTGTTCACTACACAAAGCAACACTCATCAACTTTCATGCTTATTACATAGCACTTTGGGTGAGTCTAGGCAAATTATTGTTGTCCCCCTTCTCCCCCATTGGAGTCAAATTATGATGAATGTTATCGACACAGTCCTCCAGATATCTGCCTGCCAACCAGCAAAGCACTGACACCAACACACTACCTCAGTTTGTGACTGACTGGCACAGAAGCTCCCGCACTGACTTATTGACTCACCACACGCTTAAATTACACTATTACCAACATAAATTCATACAAAGTGGGGAAACCTTAAAACTCAACTTTTTAACTGATAAGAGATTTAAAAAAATTACTTTAAAGGGAAAAAAGAAAGCTAAAATATATGAAATTGTTATCGATTCACAGCCTTTTTTTTTTTTTATACTAGGGATGCACGATATTGGATTTTTGGCCAATATGCCGATATGTTAAAACTTATTTTGTCGATAACCAATACCAATATTTTTTTTTTCCTAGTCCTACTTACAGAGACTACATAGCTTTCTCTGCTGTAGAATTAAAATACATTATTCTGCATGGTCTTTGTCAAGTTGGCCTGCTACCAAATGCAGATGGCACACTTCAACTTGGATTATGTTTAATGTCAAATTTATTCATGATATTTATTCTTTCTAACACAATGACAACACTCGAATAGTGGAAATATTTGTAAATTTTCACAAATCTAAACTCAACGGTGCACACACACACACACACACATATACATATATACATATATATATATATATCAATGTTATTTTGATGGAATGTCCGATATTTAACTTTATCGCTATTATTGGCTGATACCATGCTGATAATATCGTGCATCCCTAATTTATACCAAAATGCTTCGATCCACCACTGCCCTATCACGTTGTTGGCCTTTTACTGCAAGCAAGCGAGAAAAAAAAAATGGAAAACTCATCAATTGATTGCAGTATAAAACTATCAGTATTAGGTGTATCGTGAGATTTGTGCACCTCCACGCGCTTTAACTCTAATTATCGTCTCATTTTGTGTCCAGCTCTGCTCAGTCCAAAGGAGTACGAGGTGGAGATTCCATCTACACGTCACAATCTCACCACCAAAAAGAAAAACGAAACGTTGTAAATATTGAAGGACAAAACATTTGTCTAAATGATCTCACGTGTGAACACATCGCAGAGTTAACCAGTGAACAAAAAGATGAGTTGAATTTATGTGTCTTGGTTGTTTACATGGTGTTTTGGTTTTGATACATTTGAGCCGAACATTTTTTTTTTTTTTTTTTTTTTTTTAAATCTGCAGTAAACATGAATTGTAAAAACAGTGCTTTAGGATGGTGTTGGCAAGTAGTGACATCATATCAGATGTGCATAGTCCTTTAAAAAATTTTTTAAAAGTGGAGGGATGTGCATGTGACCCGATGCAGTAACTGATCTGACGTTTACTTCCAAGTTTCTGCACAGCAGGAGACCTGGAAGTGGACCAAAAAACTAAAGATTAGAGGGGAATTTTTTATTTTTACATTTCTCTTGCGGTATAAGGTGTTTTTAACTATTCTTCCTCTTTTGTTCTTATTTTTTCTTTTTTTTTCAATGTCCGAGTTGCCTTTCTTTTCACGCTCAGTCGTTCTGTTTCGTACTGGTATTTGTGCTGTGTTCTTCTCTGCTCTGGTGCCTCCTGGTGGAACCAGTGAGTCCCAACCAGGTAGAGAGAGGAAAAGGTACTAAACTGAAGTAAATACAGTTTTTATTGTTCTCTTGTCCAAGTCTGTTTTTATCACAGTATATATATATTTTTATTTGTTTGCTAATTGTTGTATTAAAACGAGGGTTGAAAAAACCCAATGGTTCACATTTCTTTCTCATAATACAAATTCAAGCTATATTTTTTAATTGGCAGCCTTTTGGTTTAATAAATCAAAGGTTTTGTCCAATTTGAAAACGTATACATTTCATGCAGAGATTTTTGATACTTTTATTAGAAAACAAATTCTACAGTTTTTTTATTTATTTATTTATAAATATTGCAATATTTGAGTCTTTAATTTTCAATAGCCCACAGGGAAGTCTAAAAAATAGATGTTTTAATCAAAGGTCATGTTTCAGGATAGATTATTGAAAATTGTAATTTAATAAAAATTTCAGTAAATAAATTATTGGCCATTAGCAAAAAATTAGATTCAGTAAGTCACAAATGAATAAATTTGTAATTATTCAAATTCTTTACTGGGATGCAAACATGTTTCAGAGTGAAGTACTTACTATTTTTCACAAATTCTTTTTAAAATTTGATCAAACACCTTTGCTGTTGCACTAAAATGTAAAAATACAAATGTCAACAATTTCAGTTTTTTAATATCAGAGTGTAACAAACTAGTTTTCATATTTACATAAAACTAAATTAAGTAGAGTTCCAGCTTTTGTTCCCCCTCAAAATCCTGACAAAGTCAGGAATAAAGTCACGTTTCTGATCTCATAATTTCAGAATTCTAAAGGTCAAGGTTCTTTACTGTCATTCGCATCTCGTGGTACATGTGGTGGAACGAAATTGTGTACACAGGTCCCAGTTACATCCAACAAAATTATAAATTGTAAAAGAAAAACAGTAATAAGATCTAAGATAAGAATAAAGAAATTCACTAAACGCTTAATAGTACAAAAACAATACGCTGAACAACAGCAGCATGAACATGAGTCTGTGAGCAGACGTACGAATGAATACTGCGACATGAGATAAATCGGCAGCATGGATAGTCAGCAGCACGTCAACAATCAAGTGGTACTGCAATGATTTTTTTCCCCCACAGTGATAATCCTGGTTGGATATTCATGAGTCTAACAGCCTCAGGGTAGAAGCTGTTCCTCAGTCTAGTGGTTCTGCACTTAATGCTCCTCAACCTCCTTCCTGAGGGGAGCGGGGCAAAAAGTGTGTGCTGGGTGAGTGGGGTCCTTCATGATGCAGGTGGCCCTCTTCCTGCATCTGGAGTTGTAGATGTTTGTGATGGGGAGGTTGACTCCCAACGGTGTTCTGTGCAGCCTTCACCCTCTGCAAAGCTTTTCTTTCTGCAGAATACAGAGATTAAATCAGAATTCTGAGATTAAAGTCACTTTAAATCTAAAAAAAAAAGTTGGAATTCTAAATTTAATCTCAGGAAATTGCTCTGGGCAAACGTCATTTTGCAATCGAAGTAAGAAATTCAGACTTTATTTTTTTATTCTGAAATTAATTTCAGGAAAACATGTCAAATTGTTAGATTTCAGAATTCTGATTTTTTTTTTCTCCACTTTTAAAGTTAGAATTCTGGAAAAAGTAATTTCTGAGATTTAGGTAGGTCGGAGTAATGCATTTAATCTCTGAATTATTCAATATTGACTTCTCCAAAAATCCTGATTTAATAGCAGAATCTCAGAATTCTGGGGAAAAAAAATAACTTTTTACTGTGGCCTTAATCCTCTTCAGTAATAATCAATTTATAGGTAATAAACAAACATAGTTTAGTCAGAAAGCAAACTAAATCTGATTTTAAGAAATGAGGCTGATGCTGCATCCTAATAGTCAAATGAAAGAAAAGCTTCTATTGTTTTACTGTATTTTTAATTTACCTCCTAATCTAAACTTGATCATGTTACCACCGTTTCTCCACCTGCTTTGGTTCGAGTTATAAACCTGAAAAATAGATAACACCGCCATGCAAAATGTGTCATTTCCCTCCTAGTTACACAGCTGAGGTGGTTATTCAAGCCCCGCCCACTCCGGAGGACGCACGAGCGACGTCGCCTCTAAGGCGGGACGACGCCTGTCCGACGCGTTGGCAACAGGTTCCACTGGTGGAGGGGGAATTTCTCCTGCTCCCCTCAGTTCACTGGATATCATGTCCTCATCCTCTCAACATGTCCGGAGTTTCTTCTCTCCTGAGGACCGAAACAACTGAGAGGAACTGAATTTGGCACGTGCAGGAAAACGTTTATCACGGTAAGGCTACTTACAGTAAAGTGAGCGGAGATGCGCCGGTTAGCTGAGGGGACGTTTCTCAGTATTTGGACAGGCGGTGATGGACACCTGTGGCTTTGTAGTGGGACCTTTTAATGGCCGCTTTAAAGGTTTAAACGCAGCGTCGTCGCTCCGTCTGTGCGCTGCACTTCATAATCGGATCTGCGCGCTGAGTAAAGAGGATGCGGGGGGTTGATGTGGCAGGTGTGTGTGAGGCAGGTGGGTTAAATGTCGCCTGCTGTAAACAAGTGCGCGGTTTCGACGCGCACCGATACCGACTGACCGGATAGGTGGGTGTGACGCAATTAAGTCAGGGGCACACAGGTGCTGCACGAGCCTTTCCTCAACACCTTACTGTCACGTTTTAATTATTTACTTCAGGCGATATCTTGGATAAAAACTCCCAGGTCCACCCGTTTTGTTGTGGTTACGCACAGCCTGCGCCACAAAAACTGACTTGTTGACTAAACTCAGTCCAGTTGTTTTGACTCGGGTAAATTATGTTAACTTCACGTGACCATTTAAAAAAAACTCAAGAATATAATTAAATACAGCTTGGTAATTAAATATGTTTGGAGAAAGCAGGATCAGAAAAGCCAAATAGCCTCATTTATTGTTTTGGATATCAAGTTTCTGCTTATTTCTACTGCTTCACTGGCTGACTTTGCAAATCTAAACGAATTAGACATTTTTACATGTAGATCTAATTTTGTTGCCTTTAGTTTTAACATGCACCATAAAGGCTATTACAAGTTTGGTGCTATTTTATTTTTTTTTTAAATTGAGCAAACTAATAAATTATGTGATTTGGTTAAACTGGTATGCATTAATTTAGTAAGAAAATTTGTTTTCTCTAGTAAAGTTTATAGGTTGTTTATGTCTCTGCGTGAGTGCAGCTACAGCGTGCGCTCTCAGGACATTATTACCTGCAGTGTTCCCTCCGTGCGGACTGAACCTTCTCCTACACCGCTCCTGTTCTCTGGAGTATCTTGCAAAAAGATCTGAAGCTCTCGACCTTGACCTCTCTAAACATCTGTTGGACTCCTGGCAAAATCCAATGCAGATGTGTTCCCGTTTTTAGTTTTCTACATTAGCCTTATAATCTAGCTGTTTTTGCTACTTTTTTTGCCATCTTATTTTAATTTGTAAAAAAATAAAAAAATAAAATCTGTATGCCTCTTTTATGATTGTCTATTGTTGTCGTTATCCACTGTTGTCATCACTCTTTGTTGAAAGCAGGTCTCTTATAAAGGAGTCCTCGAGGCTGAATGGGATTAATCTGTCTAAATAAAGGTTGAATGAATGAATGAAAATACAGTTGCATAAATAACTTTTTAAAAATAGGTTTTTAATATGGTTGTTAAATGCTATTTAACTATTTACTGAACATCTACGACTGATTAACTTTTGGAGTCAGCTCAGTTCAACATGGCTGCCACAGCAAAGCGACCCAAGCAAACACAACAAGACATGGATTTGACTCCACTTTTACAGACATGAGCTAAAATTTGACGTGGTAGTAGCTGAGAGTCATTCACAACACGTACTCCAAGCACTAACGGATCATGCAATATGGCATGAGGTGCGTAATGTTATTTTTTTTCAACATGAGTTAGTCTAAAACTTCAGCGTGAAAGGCTGCAGGGATAGGCATGTGCTTACATTTATTTTCCTGTTACCATTAAAAGTGCATAAAACACCAAACCACTGATCAAACAAGGCACCATCTGCATTGTTTAAAGATAATCCAGACAAACTAGTTGAGTTTCCTTCAACAGTGACTTTCTCTTTGCCTCTCTCCCTTAAAGCTCAGCCCGGTGAAGAACTCTGGCAACAGTTGCTGTATGCTCAGTCTCTCCCATCTCACCTGTTGAAGCTCGTAACTCTTCCAGAGTGGCCACACGTGTCATGGTAGCCTCACTATATATTCACCTTGCTCAGTTTGTGAGGACGGCATGCTCAGTAGATTTACACATGTTCCATATTTCTTGTTTCTTGATGACGGCTTTAACAGAATATGTTTAAAACTTTGGAAATCATTTTATATGCATCTTCTGATTTATACTGCACTTTTTAAAAAATGGATTATGCAGTCATTTATTCTAAATTACATATTTAATTGGTGTTACTCAGTAGAAATTTGATTTCACTTTAATATTTAAGTTGTAATGGTGAAGCATGTTAATTTGTATTGACCGTGACTGAATTTGTGAGAGCAACAAATCCATCCATGGGGGTGAATACTTCTTTTATTGGTGCTGTAACTGAGTCGAGCTTGTTGGTTGAGGACGGCGACGAGGGACGGCTGATTGGCCAGTCCTGCGACATTCCAGTCTCTGTTGACTCAGCCCGTCCTTGTAACGAGTGAGAGAAACGGCGTGAAAGTCAAACGCGTTGTCGCCGAGCCGTGCTCACAGCCACTAGTCCGAATAACAACCGGGTCAATGTTTAAAATCTGTATTTACCCAAGGAACATGTTGGAGTTTGACTTGGATCAGTAGCCGTGCACACATCATGCAGAGAAAAGTAAAAAATTAAACAGACTTTTTATCTTTTTACGCCAGACTCTGATTGGTGCTTCCAAACCTAAATGTTTTTTTTATTGTGTGAACGTTTATGAAGCATTCCCACTATTGTGATCCATTTTTCTTCAGTACGTATTTCGTATCGATTCTCGTTCCACAATTTTTGTGCCATTTCAACAAATCGTAGATTAAAACGAGCAGCTCTTTCATGACAATCCGACTCTGACTTTTGGTAGTGGTGCAACTTTAGCTTTTTGAAATGTTTAGCCTTTTCTGCCATTATTCTCAGAGAAAATGAACTGAGCTCATTTTACATCCTTCAAATCTTTAGATCTGTTTACAACCTTTTACTGCTCCTTTCACGTTTTGTTCTGGTTCAGCTTCTTTCAGCTTCCTTGTGCAAATTTAAAAAAAAATAAAAAATTCAACTAATTTCAGCTGTTTTTTTTTCAGCCGTTTTGTGCTCTATTCATATTCTTTCAGCCAAATACCGGTACAACATTTTTGAGCTTCTTCTAACTTCTTTTTGTTAATTTTAGCTCATTATGATTCTTTCTTCTTAGTTCTGCCAGTTTTAAGCGTTTTATACTATTTCAACTACCGTTTAGCTGTTTTTATACTAATTTAAGTCTTTTCAGCCATTTCCACATTTTTTGTACTCATTTCAACTTTTTTTCAGCCTATTTCAGCAAAAATGTGCTCTATCCACTTCCTTGTAATTTAAGCTTCTTTATGCTTTTTTATCTACTTTTCAGCCATTTCTTTCCCCACAATTTCAGTTTTTTTCCCCAGATATCCATTTTTAGCGTCCATTTCTGCTTCTTTCAGCCCATTTGGACAAGCATGTTTTTTCTGCTTTCTTCTGCTAATTTAAGCTTGTTCTACCTTTTCAGCTACTTTTTTTTTTTATAACCATTTTTAGGTAATTTAAACTGTTTTTAGATAAATTCAAGTTTTTCATGATAATTTCTGCTACTTTCAGTCTAATTAACTTCTTTCCACTAATTTCAGCTTGTTATGCTCCTTTCAGCTTATTTCTGCTAGTTTCAGCTTTTTCTGCTATTTCAGAATATTTAACTATAATTATATAAAAATATTAACTATTTAACTTTTATATTTAGCATTTTGAAGCTAAATTTAGCTTTTTCAACACATTCTTGGAGCTCATTTCAGCTCCTGAATCTTCCTTCTAGTAGTTTAACTTTTTTTTTCAGCTACTTTCAGCTATTTAAAAAAAAAAAAAACTATCAGCTTTTTGAGCTAATTTCCTAATTTTTTTGTGCATTTCTGCTTATTTAAACCTAATTCAACAAATATATGTTCTTTCTACTTTCTTGTGCTAAGTTAGGTTTGTTCATCCATTTTAGCATTTTGTAGCTAATTTCAGCTGTTTTTCAAGTATTGCATTTTCACAGGAAATGCAATTTCTCTAGTTGTTGTTGTTTTGTTAGGACAGTCCTGCTTGTTTTTCTCCATGATTTAGCCTCCTTACTTATTTAATTCCTGCCAGTGTGGACAGTTTTCCACACGTGTAAACTCTCCAGTGGATGTTGGACTTATTTTTTCGCAGTTTCCTCTTAATCTGTTTTTATACAAATGCAAACCACGCGTGATGCTGACAAAGACCGTCTGGAATCCTAAGAATGTTGTTGGTTAAAAACCAAGTATGACTTTGATTCTCTTCTCCAACCTTGTTGTCATTAAAGGGTCTGCGTGTTACACTATAACTAGTCCTCGTTAAGCAAACGGTTACACTTTAATCCCTGTCAGAGTCACAGCTCTTACTGCTGAAGGCGTGGACAAATAGGCTGTTTGTAGAAAGGAGGGAATTCAAATTACTGCACGACTAAAGCATCTATAATCTTGTGAAGGCAGCAACTGTCCCTGAGATATTGATGCTTATTAGGTCAAATTCAACCAAATGAATGCACTGCAGGTGTGTAATGTGCACATTCTTGCATTTCATGCTTGAGTTGGTGAGGGTATGTGCCTGCCCAGCTCAGACTAAACAGCCCACGGCTGGTTGGTTCGGCTCTAAAGACTCGTAACAGCAGGAAGACGGGCGTCCCAGGCCTGACCTAGCCCATGGTGTTTAATGCTCCACAGAACTTGGACAATATGGGGAGTTTCGCAGGTCCATTATAAAACGTATAAGTTGGATATGTGTCGATTATACTGTAGAGGCGGTAATTGGAAAATATCTGTAAACCCAGAGCTTAGTGATAATCTGTATTCGTTGCTCAGCCAAGTTAAGAGCTTACTTCTGCATAAGCTCGGCCGTCCCAGACATGAGGTTGGTAAAGTTTTCATTTGGGATACATAAACGCAGTACTGCGTAATAAACCACTTCCGTTCTGTCAGTGAGCCAGACTTTCGTGTAATCTGGTAAAATAGTTCTCCAGACCTTCTGAAGGCTGTTCTCAGGCTGACTGCATTTTCATTCATTTTTTCCCCCCATTCCTTGTACCCGACTGCAACAGCAAATATGAAGTGGAGGTGGAGTGGAACAGTGTCTGGAAGTCGTGTTTTTTGGGGGGTTTTAAGAAATGGGGGGAAAAATATCAAAGACCTGAGAGATTTTTCATTCCTCAGTTAATCGACTGCCTCCCAAGTTTTCAACTAAAAGCTTCTTCCAAACCATTGTGCTCGTGCAAAAATGTTATTTGACAAGTAGGCCTGTCGTGATAAACAAATCAATCGCATGATAAATGAAAACTATCAACCTTATTTTCATTTATCGTTTCTTCGTGTCTTTCTGAAGACACTGGATGACAAAAAGCTAAACTCCAGTGTCTTCACTGACTCCTCCCTTTCTCTTTTCTCTTTAAAGCCTGTTTTAACCGACCAAAATCATGTTTTTGGATCGTTGAAAGCAGCTAAGCTGCGAAGCTAAGCTAACAGGCTGAAGCTCCAAAATTCACGGTTGAAATCTGTGCCTTTGTGTAAAAAGTTTTTCTCTTCAAAAAGAAGCTGAGAACTTGTTTCCTGATTTATTTATTTTTTAAATTAAAAGCTTTGTGTGAAAAAGGCTATGCTAAAGAGCTCAAACCACACCGAGCATCCGCCATTTTGAGAACTGAAGAGAGACAGCCCATGTCACGTCATGGAGCCTCCCTCCCATTTTTCTTAAAAAGTCATGCTGCTTGCTCCCTCACTATCCATCCTTTGGTTCAGACAGTCTTATACTGCCATCCAGTGGTCGGGAAAAGGTACTACACACAAAACAAGTTGAACATTACTTCTTTAATTTGACAATTACTAATTATTGTCAAATTTCAAAGAATATTATAATTTATCACAATAATTTCTGAGACAATTAATCGCCCAGCAAAATTTGTTATCGTGACAGGCCTATTGACAAGTCAAAATGTGCTTTTGTTGTTTTACTGACTCAAATGAAGAAATTGGCACAAGTTGTGTCTGTGACAAACTGCTGGTATTAAAGTGCCTAAATATATATTTTAAATAGTTTCTTTGCTGAATTGTGCATTGTCGGTCAGTAGTACATTCCATAAAATTAGATTATTTTATACTTGATTGCTTTCAGTCAGTTAAGTAGCCTAAAAAACAAACGAAAACATTCATCTGAAAACAATACAGCCCTGGACTGAAATTAGTGAAAAACAAACAAAACAAAAACAAACAATTAAAGACCTTCAGGAAGCCACATCAGATTTAATTATGCATCTTTGTCATTTGAAGATCTATACATTTTAAACATCAAACATAGATTTGTGTATCCCAAAGTATGTGATTCTGTATTTCCTGACTCAATAAACTGCATCTCTTTAGCTGGTAAAAGTCTGAAACTGCATGTCCTGATTCTGTAAGACAGTCTTTTATAAATTTTTAATATTTAAGCCCACACTGAGATAACGGTAGTGACTGTTATCTCAGGTTTTAGAAAAGCTCTCCAGAGATGTCACACATTTTCTCTCACTGTCTGAGTCATGACTTTAAGTCGATCTGCTGGTAAAGTTTGAAATTAATCATGAATGTTAGGGGTGTAAACACTAATTATAAATTTTGGAAACGTTTATATATTTTGACAGAAGAAACGCCTTCACATCTGAGCAACAAGTCTGTTTTCCAATAGTCACAACACATTTACATGCTGCTTTATGCTATTGACATTTTTTTTTTTTGCTGTGTGAGTACACAAAAATTCAAATTTTGTTCCATTGTTTTTGTTTTTGTATGTTAATTTGTCTCGTGCAATCTTTCTTACTGCGTTTTCCCGTCTTTCTGTCCCCACCCTTTACAAAAGTTAGCTTCAGTCTACAAAAACGCTCTTCGTGTCCCAATGGCATGTTTGGTATGACAAGAATACAAGACATTCTGGTTGGTAAGGAATTTTACCTGTAGGGCCGCAAGAGCAGATGACAGGTTCATCAAGACAAACCATTACTTTGCTACTTTATTCGAGTCATCGTGACTGAACAAAACGTCAGATTTGAACAGAAAATAGAGAAATAAAAGGATCTGAAATAGCTGCTGGTTTCCATGTTTGTCTATTGAATGTTTTTTTCCTGGGTCACCTTATTTCCATTTTTTTTCTGCTTTCCTTTTTGTCCCGCACAGAAACCACAAGTGAACATGAGCACTCCCTCCGCTGACAGGAAGTCCCAAGTGGATTATGGTGTGCAGATCCGCTTCATCAACGACCTCCATGACACGGGTGGAGGTTACACGGAAAAAGCCAGAGTCGCCAACGGCACAAGCCCTTCTTCCAGCAAATATGGCGTGGCCGTGCGGGTTCAGGGGATCTCTGGGCAGCCTTATGTGGTTCTGAAAGATGGACAAAAAGGTGACTCCTATGGAGTTCAATTGACTAATCCCAATGCCCCTCCCACCCCCACCTTAGGACCACCTTCATCCTACAACAGTGTCCCCAAACTTAAAAAAGAGCCTGCAGAATTTACAAAGTCCTTCAGCCCAGTTGTAAATTCCTCACGCTCCCCTGTTTCCCCATCCACAGAGGATGAGATTGGGGAAATTTTTGGGAGCCCTCTTAGACGACCTCCGGGGGATGGCCAAGCAGGAACACAAGGAGAAGAGGAAGGTAGCACTGGGAGGGAACGACTGGTGGAGAGGCCAAAATCTGAACCCAAATTCACAGCAATGTTCAGCGACAATGAGACCAAAGGAGATAAGACTGAGGATGAGTATAACATAGCTGGACTGAAACCTGTCAAATTAAACACGGCAGGACCTAAAGGGTTTAATCGAACTGCTTCTGGTTTCACAAACTCTTTAGGGAGGTACAGTGAGAAGAGATCAAGCACAGATCCTCCTCCACAACCCTTCCCAGATCCTCCTCCTCCAGCACTAACCAACAGTGAGCCTGCCCCAGTTATTGACACCAAGTCCCTGGCTCCAATCAACAAACTCATCAGTAAGTTCAACAGCAGCACCCCAGGAAGTGCCCCACAGTCCAGAGGCCGCTCTGGAGCAAGGCAGCGGCTGAGGTTTGATGAGCGCACGAGATCCAGAAGTCTTGATGCACGAAAAGATGCAGAGCCTGAAGTTACCCTTCCCTCACCAACATCTCCCACCCCAAACCCCTATGCTGCTCCTTTAACTGCCTCCTCCAGTTTACTGATATCATCTGCTCCAGGAGGTGGTAGCCTGGGACAGAGTCCTGCCTCTGCTGCCAAGGTGACGGCACTAAACACCCCTGAGGCAAGTTTCAAGTCACCAGAGAAGTTTGTTTCTAAGGCCAACCCTCCAGCTATTGCAAAAAAGCCTGTACGTATCAGCCACTGGAAACTATTAAACACCTTACAGGTACTGATTTGTTTTATTCGTTTTAAACGTTGCTTATTCTCTCTTTGAAGGAAACACTTTCAAGGAGTTCAAGCCAGAGTACGGAGGTCATTAATGGGGAAGAGGCTCAAATCAAGCAGGCCATTTACAACATCCTCAAAGATGGGTTAGTAAAAGTACGTGCATGTTGTTTAAAATAAAATCGCTTTTAACTGAAAATCCTTTCTGACGTCTCTTCATCAGCACCAGTGAGAATGAAGGAGCCCTTCAAAAAAAAGTTAGCCGTGTCTATGAGACAACCAACAAGATAAAGGTATGATCAAGATGTACATTTATTTGCTTCCATACCACATAAGTCAAGTATTTGGTTTTGCAAAGTGGGCTTTGCATATCCATCTTTCATAATGTTCATGTTTTTGCAACAATCACTTCTGTTGGTCACCTTTCACATCTGTCCGGGGTTTTATGGATGACAATCCAAGAAAAATGTTTAAAAGGGGTCTTGCGCTTCCACGTTGCAACTCCATTAGTGTCGAGCAATATGTTGTGAAAGAGCTGCAAGTCTTTTTGAATAAGTACAGCAAGTACCTGTACTTTCCCTGATTCTGAAAAACAGGCCATAAAAAACAAGATAACGTGGTAACACAGTGAAGGTTGTAGACTATTGTCTTTATTTCTGATGGTACAATTAAACATTGTGCATGTCGTACAAAAAGTCACTTTCATGGTCTGTCAGGTACGTCTGTCAAACTAGTTATAGTATATTCATGTAGGTACTCAAAGGTTGCTAGTCAAAACTATTTTTTAAATTACTTGCCACAAACTAAATTTAAAAATAGACATTATTATCATTCTCAAAAAATAAAATATGAAAAAGAAAAATTCCCATTTGCCTCGAGATAAGCTTAGGAGTGGATTTAGCTAGCTAGCTACAACTTTTTTTTTTCTTTTGGCTGCTCCCTTCTTCAGGTGTCGCCACAGCAAATTAACTTGTATGACTTGACTTTTTTTTTTTTTTTTTACACCGGATGCTCTTCCTGATGCAACCACAGACCACTGAGCTACCTGTGTGGAGCAGAGAGCTGCTATCTAGGGCGCCTGGGGGAGCAGATGGTGGGGGTTAATGGCCTTGCTTGAGGGCCCAGAGTAAGGCAAATGAGGGTGGAGGCAGATGTTGGCGTTTCACCTTTCCCACCCACGTTTTGATGTTGGCGGTCCAGGGAGTTGAGCCAGCGACCTTCCGATCACAGGCCCACTTTCTCCAACCTCTGCACCACCACTCCCCAGCTAGCTACTACAATTAACTCCCTTTATTTCTTTAGTAAATATTGATGGATTTAACAGCTTCTGTTTAAAAGTAGAAAAACCAAGATGCTGGCATCTGAAAATACATTTTATCACTGTTTGTAGACATAGTGTACACAGACACCACTAGTTTGCTCATTTCTGGAAGCACTACGTTAACTATTTTCCTCTGACTACATGAGCTAACTAGCTGCTGTCACGATGCTATCACACAAATCCAAGAATTGGTTATTTCATTTAACTCTCCAAAGGAAGCAATCAGGCATTTGTAACGTTTGTTTCTTCCAACTAAAACCAGTAAATTTAACGTTAGCTAGCTGTGGTTATGCAAAGTTAGCATGCTAGGGGTTGTGTCTCATTAGAGCAGTTCTTGCAAAGAAGCCAACAGATGGTTGGCAGCCTGCCTGGTTATGTGAGCGTAAGAAGTTTCTGTTTCATTCACTTTGTCTCCAAGGGTTCTCCTTACACAGGCTGAAAAATGAGAAATCTAAAGAACATGCTGACTACTCCTGTCACTTTTTGTCCTTTGTGCCAATTTAAAATGCTACATTTATGAGAACACATACATAAAAACACTAAAAAAAATTAGCATCTGTTTGCACAGATCTGCATACAGAACTCCTTCCATTGTGTGCTTACACCCTCAGTATTGCGTGCACTTGTTTACGAATACCTTGTTATACGTCTGTGTATGGACGTGGATCATTGTGAATCGTTTGCTCGTCTTGTCTCTTGGCAACGACGCACCTGCAGAAGAAAGCGGTGTGTGTGATGAGAGCCCAGTCACCGAGAGCCATCAATAATTAAGTTGGAGTGGAACCCTGCACCAGCTGGGGTTGGCTTGCACGAATGGGATAGATCCTCTTCTAGGGGGTCCTGTAGTACAAAACCCTTTTTGTTTGTCATATGATCCACTTTTAATAGATTTGGTGCTCATTGTAAGCTTTTCAGAAGCAATAGTAAATAAATAATAATAAAAATGGAGGGTATCAACCACATGAAGGATGTTTTTGTCTCTGCAGTTAAACCTTGTATACCAAAACATATTTTTTTGTTTGCATGAAAACGTGACATTAAACCAGAGCTGTCATGTGAGTGGGTGTTGAAAGAGCTCATCTGTGGACTCTCTTTAGGGGATATGTGATCATTTTCTATATGAATATAAAGAAAAAAATGTCTTTGTGGGTTTCACAGTTTATTATGTTAAAACATATTCATTTATATGTGAAGGCTTCTTAACATTTTGACTGATTCACTGTAGTGCTGTGATCTGATGTATGTCAAAGGTGGAGTTACGCCTGTTTGTGTCCTAGTTTCACTGAGAATCAGATACTGGTGTGCTGGGTAATCTGAGTCCACGATAGTTGTTTGTGTAGGGCATACAGCCAACTGGTCAACCAAGCATAAAAATGTAATTTTTATTTATGTTGCAAAATAGGAGAAAGCATTTTCCATCTTCTAACGTTTGATGCAAAGTTCAGCTAATTTAGATCCATTGGATACGCTACTGGTTAAAGTACTGGTATAAAAAATAAATGAATGTACAGGGTAACTAAATTAAATTGGACTTTCTTGGCACTTTTTTTTTTGCCAGTGGGCACCTGATGATTGAGCTTAAAAGTAAACTTCCATTCAATTCAGGTTATTTATAAAGCACCAAGTCATAACAGAATTCATCTCAGAGCACTGAACAGAAACATTTGCATAAATTATAAACGCCAATTAGTAAAAGTTATCTATTTAAATAAGCCTGCAGTCTGAGAGCAAAGTGCTCCGTTAGGAAAATATGGAACAATAAGATCTGTAATATAAGATGGAGCTAGGTTGTTGAGAGCTTTGTATGTTAGAAGTAAAGATTTTTAATTCTATTCTGAATTTAACAGGGAGCCAATGGAGAGAAACTAAACTTAAATAATAATAACACTCATCACATTATAAATCTGGTCTTTTTTTACAGTTTGCATGAAGAAGTAAAGCTATAATCTTCCCAGATCCTTTGTTATTTAACACATCTTGACTAATTGGATTAATATAATCTAAAATATTGCTTAAAAAAGAAATAACAATATGAAGTTACTTAGTTAAGTCTTTGGTATTGATTCTGTACTTGGATGTAACATCATTCTTTAGTTCTTAATTTAGATCTCAGTAATAGATGTGGTGTAGAAAGAACAAACAGGTCCAGAATCATCAGTCTACTAGGTGAATATATTCAGATTTCTCAGAATTATAGCTTATAATTCTTATCATTTTTGCTCATCAAACCATTAAAGCTAAACTTTGCATCTTTTGAATTGGGGTACTGTAGAGAAGTCATTACTAATTACTATATTTTGTTGTAAATAGCTTTTTGAATGGCCCCAATTTGGTGAAATAGTTTAATTCTGAACAGACTGACGAGCTAACGCATAGTCCGAGCTGGGCTCAGACCAAAGAGGATTACTGCCATCTCAAAACAACTCCCGTATGAAAAAGTTCCTAGCTGTTCCTGCTTAATTTAGTAAAATAATCCCCTTTGGTCTTGGCCCTGAACAGACTGGCCCTTCGCTTGTCAGTCAAGTCAAAATGAAACTCTTATTTCTCCTTATTGCAGTCATTTAACGGTTATCTACAACAGGTAGGATATTAAGTGCTCCTCTCATAGAACCTCACTTCAGAAGACCTGAACTATTTAAGTTATCCCTCATGACCCGTAGATGAGGAGTATCAAGATGAAAATCTTAGAACAACTTTATATTTTCAATAGATCCAGAGCATAACCCAAACACCTGGTCAACTCAGTGTGGAGGTGAGGGCTTCTGCTTCGCCCAGTTTTGCTCCAATACTAAAGTACTGCATAATAAAGATACCAGATTAGCATTAAATGCTAAACTTTATTCAACTCTTATCACTCTCTCTTGTACAAACCGGATTCCAAAAAAGTTGGGACACTAAACAAATTGTGAATAAAAACTGAATGCAATGATGTGGAGATGGCAAATGTCAATATTTTATTTGTAATATAACAGGTGACGGATCAAAAGTTTAATCTGAGTAAATGTAACATTTTAAAGGAAAAATATGTTGATTCTAAATTTCACAGTGTCAACAAATCCCCAAAAAGTTGGGACAAGTAGCAAAAGGTGGCTGGAAAAAGGAAATTGAGCATATAATGAACAGCTGGAAGACCAATTAACACTAATTAGGTCAATTGACAACATGATTGGGTATAAAAAGAGCTTCTCAGAGTGTCAGTGTCTCTCAGAAGCCAAGATGGTAAGAGGATCACCAATTCCACCATTGTTGCGCAGAAAGATAGTGCAGCAATACCAGAATGGTGTTACCCAGCGTAAAATAGCAAAGACTTTTAAGTTCTCATCAAAAGATTCAGAGAATCTGGAACAATCGCTGTGTGTAAGGGTCAAGGCCGTAAAACTCTACTGGATGCTCGTGATCTCCGGGCCCTTAAACGTCACTGCACCTCAAACAGGAATGCCACTGTCAAGGAAATAACAGAATGGGCTCAGGAGTACTTCCAGAAAGCATTGTCAGTGAACACAATCCACCGTGCCATCCACTGTTGCCAGCCGAAACTCTACAGTGCAAAGAGGAAGCCATTTCTAAGCAAGCTCCACAAGCTCAGACGTTTGCACTGGGCCAGGGGTCATTTAAAATGGAGTGTGGCAAAATGGAAGACTGTTCTGTGGTCAGATGAGTCACGATTTGAAGTTCTTTATGGAACACTGGGACGCCATGTCATCCGGACTGGAGAGGACAAGGATAGCCCAAGTTGTTATCAACGCTCCGTTCAGAAGCCTGCATCACTGATGGTATGGGGTTGCATGAGCGCTTGTGGCATGGGCAGCTTACATGTCTGGAAAGGCACCATTAATGCAGAGAACTATGATCAGGTTCTAGAACAACATATGCTCCCATCTAGACGTCATCTCTTTCAGGGAAGACCCTGCATTTTTCAACACGATAATGCCAGACCACATTCTGCAGCAATCACAACATCATGGCTACGTAGGAGAAGGATCCGGGTACTGAAATGGCCAGCCTGCAGTCCAGATCTTTCACCTATAGAGAACATTTGGCGCATCATAAAGAGGAAGGTGCGACAAAGAAGGCCCAAGACGATTGAACAGTTAGAGGCCTGTATTAGACATGAATGGGAGAGCATTCCTATTTCTAAACTTGAGAAACTGGTCTCCTCTGTCCCCAGACGTCTGTTGAGTGTTGTAAGAAGAAGGGGAGATGTCACACAGTGGTAAAAATGGACTTGTCCCAACTTTTTGGGATTTGTTGACGCCATGAAATTTGGAAACAACAGATTTTTCCCTTAAAATGATACATTCTCTCAGTTTAAACTTTGGATCTGTGATTTTTGTTCTATTCTGAATAAAATATTAGATGTTGGCACCTCAACATCATTGCATTCAGTTTTTATTCACAATTTGTTTAGTGTCCCAACTTTTTTGGAATCCGGTTTGTATTATTTGGGTAAAACACATGAGAGAACAGCTGATGCAGTTTATACAAAGTGCTCAAAAGAGCATTTCCTTATTCCCTCTTATCGTCCTCTTCTGTTAATTATCTCTTCTCCCAGAGTGACTGAAATGTCCCAAAATGAGATTATCTGCAAACTCCTTCAGGGCCCAAGAAGAAAGTGAAACAAATTTGTATGAAATATCTCTTTGTAATCCATCTCTGATAAGAAAACTCTGAAGCTCTCTGAGAAGCATAAACATCTGCAAGCCTCGCTTTGTTTTTTTTATTTCTTTGTGCGTGTGCATCTCTGTAATGAGTGTGTGGGAGGATGAGAGGGGGTTTTAGGGGCAGGCTGCGCTTATGCTTCCTTATCACTGAGAGGGAGTCTTTTTTGAACAGGGTTAGAAAGATGTGGGCGAAGAACGAGCTGCTGCTTCTCTGGCTCTGCTCTCCTTGTCAGAGAAGTTGTACGTGTCGGGACGTCTCTGTTCTTGACTGTTTCTGAACACACTGGCAGGGCTTTTTCTCCCAAGTCACTTCTTGACTGTCAGAAACTAGTTCAAAGAATCCAAGCCAAGGTTTTTATTTTAAACGTTAAACACATTACCGAGCTCAAATTAAAATTGCAAGGTCAACTGTAGCCATTTATTGTAGTCTTTCATCACCGTCCTTGAGCTCCTTTTCCTTCGTTTCTCATGCATGCTTTGTGGAAATATGTTGCACAGATGGGAGGATTTGGTGGAGGCATCACAAAGAAGAATCTTGAAGATCTTCAGAAGCTACTCGAATGCTACAAGAAAGATTTGGACGAGGCACAGGATGAGTAAGGACCTGTAGTTGGTGTTTTTTTCTTCAATTGTAGTTTAATGTTTACATACGCTATCATGGATGCAAATAACTGAAAACAGTTGGGGGTTTCAATCATTCCTTTATTTTAGAGGATTTTTCTAGGACTAAAAGTTTGTGTACAAGTTGTCAGTTTGAACATTTGTATTTCTGGTCTGTCCTCTTGGATAAAATAAAGACTCAAACTGATCCCCTGAATGGTGTAAAATGGTTCAAAGCATCAGGAACGAAACCAAAAGACAACAATTTGGCACATCTGTATGGCACAGCTGCTGCTAGAATATCACTGGCTTAGAGTTGCATTCAGGCCCAAAATGTCCGACCCAACCCAGCCCGTATCCATCATTTATGACCCCCCCCCCCCCCCCCCCCCTCACTTTTAGCTTGCTGTTATAAAGTCAGCCAATCAAGTCAG